GCCGGTCCCCGGTCCGGTACGGGGGCGACACTGAGGGTTGCGATCCGTTGCCGGACACGGACAAAAGACAAAAAAAAAAAAACAAAACTTCCAAGGCACGGGACAGGTTCAGGTCTTCAGCCCCTTGATTAAACATGAGAATAAATAATAAAAACAAATAACAGCTTTTTAACAAATGCTTTTTTTTTAAGGGCACATATTGGTGAGTCAGGAAAGCAGTCATGAAATGTCACATCAATGAGGAATTGTATTGGAGAGTTGAAACTGTTTATAGATGTTTTACACAAGGAGAAAATATCAGGGCCTCCTGTTAATGTCAGCTCCATGTAAACTGATGTGAAGTGATACCAAAACTTAATATCGTCTGGCCCTTATTAGCTGAAGTCCCAAGGAGGGAGGGGGTTGGCACTCCTGGCCCTTTCTGGGTGGACCACTTCTAGAGGGTCGGATTCAGATCTCTGCCACATTTTAAAAGGACATGGGCAAATTAGACTGTTCAGAAGAGGATATCTGGGGAGAGTAAGAAGTTTAGAAATCTTTGCATATGAGAAACAATTAAAGAGAACTGGGAATGTTCAGTGGGGAGGAAGACTTACGCAAGATGAGATAATATCTGAAGGGCTGATGTGTAAAAGAGAGATTTACACTTTTCTCTCTAATCTTAGTCCAAGTTGGGATCCACAGACTGAAGTTATGGATATATTTCAGTTCAATGTGAGAACACTTTTGTAAAAATTAGATAGCACACGTACACATACTTTTTAAGCACATGTACCAAATGGTGTTTTAGGGGTTTCCATGTAAATTGTCTTATTTTCCTTTTCACAGCAGCCCAATGAGAAAGATACTGTATCATCTCCACTTTACAAATGAGGAAATTGAGGCTCAGAAAGGTTATTAGAATTCATAGCCTCAGATATAGAAGAACACATTCAAACCTATGGCTTCTGCTTGCAAGCCCAGTGCTCCTTTTTATTAAAACCAGCTGCCTGAAGAAGGAAATTAGCTTCCAGTTGAGGTGATAAGCTTCCTGCTACAGGAAAGGTTCAAAAAGCTGAAAGGTCTGTCAGTTTTGGTTCATAAAGGATTCCTATATTGGTTTGGGAAGTTGAATAAGATGTGAGATTTTCATTGGTCTGGACACCATGTGAGTAAACTACTTTTTTTTCTGAGGACACTGCCCATTGGTAGCCGGTATGGAAAGGGTACTTGCCTCTCTGAGATGGTTACCAAAAGCAGACAGGGCTCCTGAGCTTCAGAGCTGCAGTAACTCCCTGCCTCCCCAAGACTGACTGGCTTTATCTCATGAGCATGATTTTTAAAAGCTTTGTAGTACTTGGATCAAATGCTTCTGGTGTGGGCCGAGCCTGTGGCACACTTGGGAGAGTGCAGCACTGGGAGCGCAGCAGCACTCCCGCCGCGGGTTCGGATCCTATATAGGGATGACCGGTGCGCTCACAGCGCTCACTGGCTGAGCGCGGTGCGGCCGGTCTCAAAAAGGACAAAAAAAAAAAAAAAAATGCTTCTGGTGTTAGTCGTTTAAAAGTGCAAAAAAATTAAGTGGATATTTATATTTCGTGTCTAAATTTTTATTTTGGAAGTTCTGAGAAAAATGTTTTAAGTTACCAAAACAAGTAATTGTCTTAAATCCGAGCCATGCTGTAGCAGTCATAGCACACAGACATTTTTCATTAACACTGGAAACATAGGAAAGTAAAATGCTGAAAGGAATTCATTTCTCTACAAGATAAAATTGGCTTCGTTACAAGGTATTTGTACTATGGGATTCGGACACTTAAAATATCAAGTACTGAAAGGTATTTCACATGTGTTATATTTCACTTTTCTCCAAATTAGGAATGGCTGTCTAAAGGACATGGGGAATACCGAGAAATCCCTAGTGAGAGAGACTTTTTTCAAGAAGTCAAGGAGAGTAAAAAAGTAGTTTGCCATTTCTACAGAGACTCCACATTCAGGTAACTGTTTCCATCCATGACATTTTTTTAAAATAAGATGTTTGGATAGAAATAGACTGGTTTAATGAGAAATTTAAAAAACTAAAAGGAAAAACTTTCTAAACTGTTTCATTGTATTCTGGTATGTTCTTTAATATTCTTAGAGTCAGTATGTAAAAGTTAAGCAGTTATTTTAATAATTAACTTTAAAGACCAGTGACATGCAAAAGTATAAATAAATGTTGAAAATCAGTAACATTCCCATAAAAATGGCTTACATTTTCTGACTTATTTTTCACTAGCTAACTCTAAAAACATCATAGAAATGTACGCTTAATATTCTTACCAGTGCAACAATACTCATTTCTGCTTATTTTTCCCTGCTATTATGATGTAGCCACAATGTTGGGAGTAGGGGGGACAACAGTCTTTCAAAATTAGTGTTCATTAACTGCTTCTCAACTAACGACTTTGACAGGGAGACAATGGCTTAACCAAACCTTCCACTAGAAGCAGAGTGAAAGTTGGGACTGCCAGTAGAAATAGCAGACCTGGAATTCAGTATGATAGTGGTTTTCTGGTGCTGAGTATCAGCTGCCTCTCTCAGATGTACATACACTGTAGAGTCTCTGTCGCTCATTGTGTCTCAGCCCAGACCTCCTCTCTCTACTGTAGCCTGGCCCTTTTCTTAGCCTCACAGCTCAATAGCTTATTATTAGTTAGCGCCTTTCAGGAATTGATTGCCTGGTATTCATTGACTAAGGGTAAAAATGAAAGAAAATATTGAGAAGGTGGAATCCCTTGTAAGGAAAAGTGGGAGAAAGGATTAGGAAGTAAGAAGGGTATCAGATTTGCCCTGTGGTACATTATCATCTCCCGTTGGCACATAGCCCTTAAGTTGTGAATCTCTGACATGTATGATGAGGTGATATATTGATATCAGTATATAAAATTGATATTTGTTTACTTATCATATGTGTTCCTTGACTAGATTGTTAGTCTTGTAAAGGCAGAGTATTTGCCTGTATCATGGCCCAGCCCATTGTGCTCTGGGTTTACAGCCCTAGAAAAGCAATGCCTGGTACATACTAGATGCTCAGTAAATATATTTGATGGAAAACAGCACCAGGAAAACTGAAAAATCAAAATTTAGTCATTCAATTAACCTTCTTAGATATCTAACAAAGTTCATAGCACATAGTAGGCAGGATACTTTAATATATATTATCTCTGAAATATCCATAATAACTCTTTTGAGATAGGTATTATAATTCCTGTGTTTCATGTTTGGAAAATTAGTCATTCAATTAACCTTCTTAGATATCTAACAAAGTTCATAGCACATAGTAGGCAGGATGCTTTAATATATATTATCTCTGAAATATCCATAATAACTCTTTTGAGATAGGTATTATAATTCCTGTGTTTCATGTTTGGAAACCAAGGCTTGGAGAGCCTTGACTCACCTAATATTACTCAGCTCCTAAATGATAAAGAGAGGGATTTGAACCCATATTTTAAGCCTAGTGCTAGTTAACTACTCCATGAATGCTGCTTCTGGATTTTTTCAACTGACAAAGGGTACAATCAGACTTATTTAAAATAGGTTCCTTACTGTAATTAAAGTATGGAGTTGATTTATGTCCAAATTTTCAGGAACATATTTCTTATGTAAAGGTTCATTTGTAATTTGTTTTGAACTTCATTTAAAAACCATTTATTAACTTGTTTTCTTGCCATTTTTCACAGAAATCTCATTGTGGAACTACATGGGTGATATATGAAAAGATACATTCCAGGGAGAGTGATACTTCAAGGTTACAAGAAAATTTTGCAGACCCAATCCTAGTTCAAGAAAAATAACACTAAATGGCACAAAAATCTTCCTACTAAAAACCACCATTAAGCATTTTGTGTGTTAGTCATTTAAAGCATTAGTTCTCAAACTTTATTGGGAGTAAGAATCACCCATGTTTCCCAGCTCCAAATGAACACCTGGGGTTAAAAACCACTGGTCTAAGATCGTTACAACAGTCTGTTTCAGAAACACTAGAATATTGGCCAGTTTTAGATTTAATTTAAAGAAAATGCCACTTCCATTTTCCTCTTCAATAGAAGAGGGCTTAGTAAAAGTTACTACTGGTATTTTTCATTTCTTTGGAACCATGATGACCATGTTTATTTAAAGATTATTAGTAACCTTAAGGTGCTTCTCACTGACAGAGTTTACAGAGGTAGGTGTAAAATGTTCTTTCTCAGTGAGGCCATTCAGTCTTTCTTCATGACTTCCAAATATGGCTCCATGTGTGTATTCCTAATTCTTTATAGTCTCTTCTGGGTTCTGTCAAGTTCAGATTTGTCTCCCTTCAAGCTTCCTGTATGAGATGCCAGGAAACATGCATTAGGGAAACAACAATCCTAATTTTTTATTCTTACCACAAACATGACAACTTCGCAAACCCCTTTATGACTTAAAGCATATATTTAATATTTCTTTAGTAAATATCATTAGGGAAAATCTGACTTTCTAGAATGCTAGATTGTTTTGGCAGCTGCCCTCTATCTAAAAATTAGGTCATCTGACACAGGTGTAGGTTGGCTGCCTAATTGAGACTCAAACAGAAGAACTGTAAAATTAGATATACCTTAATGATGTTTATTTTTTTATTTTAATTTTAATTTTTTTTTTTATTATTGACAGCTGGCGAGTACAAGGATCTGAACTCTTGACCTTGGTGTTATAGCACTGCACTCTAACCAGCTGAGCTAACCGGCCAGCCTGGATATTTATTTTTTAAAAAATGAAATCTATTGTTTTAGCTTTTGATTTTCTATGTGTTGTTACTTACAGATGTAAAATCCTAGACAGACATTTGGTGATACTGTCCAAGAAACATCTTGAGACCAAATTTTTGAAGTTGAATGTGGAAAAGGCACCTTTCCTTTGTGAGAGACTGCATATCAAAGTCATTCCCACACTAGCACTGGTAAAAGATGGGAAAACACACGATTATGTTGTTGGATTTACTGACCTAGGAAATACAGATGACTTCACTACGGAAACTTTAGAATGGAGGCTCGGTTGTTCTGATATTCTTAATTACAGGTAACTTTTAGCAAAAGAATGGATTTATTTTAATTCCAATCTAGTTGATATTTTCAGAGAGGATTTTTGTATCGTAACATTTATTTTATGAAATGAAGTCCTTTGGCTGAGATGTAGAAAGTTTCTCAAAGGAAAAAGCATGTTTCTTAAGACATACATTATAGCAAAATCAGATAGATAGGTAAAACTGAGTCTTGGAGTACAGCTGATTATCAAAGTTTAACCTAACAAATGCTGTGGAAACTAATTCTTTATTAATCTGGAAGCTCAAAATGCCATTCCAGAATTGGCACTTCTGATTTAAGACGTATTACTCAAATTGATAATGACTTAATTTTTTCTCTGATGAAATAAAAATTAAAAATACTACTACAGAGAAGGTTATATTTTAAAATATTAAGTTTTTAATGTAGATATTCCATCTCACTTATGAACTGATAAATAAAAAATGGGTTTCTATGTTAGCTTACATTATATACTATGGAGAACAGTTTCAGTTTGAAAACAATGTAAAATCAAACTTCCATTTCTCATTCATCTTTTTGTCCACTTCTCTGTCTAATTCCACAAGTCAGAGCATATCACTTTGTCTTTTGCACCTGTTGTTAATTTGCAAAAATAACAGGTAAAATTATGCAATTATCATTCCAGAGTCACACTGTCTTTCAATAAGTAGAAAGTTCTGTCATCTTTTCTTTCCCCCACTTCTCTTCCCCCCTTTTTGCTGAATCTCTCCTAGACATGCCTATATCATTTCTATGTTGTAGAAATTGGCTTCATTTTCTTAATATTAACACGAAATATTAATATTAAATTTGTGTCTTTTAAAATATCTCAAACTTTAAACAAGTTGCAGACCAGTTCAAGGAATTCTCATATACCCTTTACCCATATTCCCCAATTTTTTTTTTCCCTTTTTTGTGACCGGTAAGGGGATCGCAACCCTTGGCTTTGTGTCGCCCGCACTACGCTCAGCCAGTGAGCGTATAGTTGCAGACCAGTTCAAGGAATTCTCATATACCCTTTACCCATATTCCCCAATTTTTTTTTCCCTTTTTTGTGACCGGTAAGGGGATCGCAACCCTTGGCTTTGTGTCGCCCACACTACGCTAAGCCAGTGAGCGTACCAGCCATCCCTATATAGGATCCGAACCCGCGGCGGGAGCGCTCCCCATATTCCCCAATTTTAAACATTTTATATTTGGTTTATCATTCTCTTTCTATAGGTAACATTTGATTGAAAGTTGTAGATATGATGTCCCTTTACTCCTAACTGTATTTCCTAAGAACAAGGACATTTTCTTACATGACCACAGTACAATTATTAAAACAGGAATTATTGTGTAATTTACAGACCTTACCCATATTTTATCATTGTCCCAGTGATATCCCCCACACCAGAAAGTGTTGCATTTGGTTATTATGTGTCTTTAGTTTCTGTAACATGCAACAATGTTGCCCTTTCTTTGTTTTTCAAGACATTGATATTTTTGAAGAGTACAAGCTGATTATTTTGTAGACATCCCTTAGATTGGGTTTGTCAAACATTTCCTCAAAATTAGATTAGGATTATGCATTTTTAGTATATGTGCTGCTGAAGCAAGCATGGATTATGCATTTTTGACAGGCATATTATGGAAATGAAGAGTACAAGCTGATTATTTTGTAGACATCCCTTAGATTGGGTTTGTCAAACATTTCCTCAAGATTAGATTAGGATTATGCATTTTTAGTATATGTGCTGCTGAAGCAAGCATGGATTATGCATTTTTGACAGGCATATTATGGAAATGATGTATCTTTTCTTGGTGCATCATGTCAGGAAGCATATGATAATTTGTCTGATTTCTGGTGATAACTGAGCACAAGGTTCACCAGTTCTCTACCAGACCAAATGGTGATTTGATAAAGAACTTGTCCATCTCCTACATTTATTTACTTTTTCATTTAGTTATATCAGTATGGGCTATGAATTATTCAATGGGTTATAGTCTGTTACTATAATTATTTACTTTGAAGCTCAAAATGCCCCAGATTTGGCCATTGAGAACCCCTTTCATGCTGACGTCTATGTCCTTTTGACATTACCCTGTAGTTCTTTGAGCTCTTCCTTTCTAGTAGAAACAAGATATTTTAGGGGGGTTCATTTTGTACTCTCCCTGGAATCATCTTTTCAATGGCAAATGATATTCAAAACCAAGATTTGAGTGCTAGGAATACACCCCAGATATTTTTGAAAGAAGAAATTGTCAGTTTTATTTCTTTCTCAAGCATTATTGAAAAGAGTTTTATACCATTTCCAGGTTAATGATAGTGAATTCCATGAGTTTTGATGTCTATAGAGATCTAAACATTATGAAATGTTAAACAAGATCAAACCAGTAATAATAGGCTATCAAATAGACTAACATTTTCTGTGCCATTCTCATAGTAAACAGAATATCTCATATAGGTTTAGTATATCCAGAAGCAGTGAAATCAGAACAGCTGGCTTTCTTCTGTACTTTTCAATCAGAAATTCTGTTGGCACATCCTATAAAATGTTAATCGGTAATTAATGATAAAAGGAAAAATGGGAGGGAGGAAAATAAAACATTGATCTAAAACATTTAGTAGTACAAATAAGGTTTAAAGCTATTAACCATCAATATGACTAGTATACTTCTTCCCTGACACTGGCATTTTAAAGAAATTTTACTCTATTCTATATGTTATAGGGAGGAAGAAAAGATAGATTTCTGTGCAGTTTAGTATACCAACTGTATTAAATCATAAAGAATAAAATGCTTTTCAAATTTGTTTTTAGCGGAAATTTAATGGAGCCACCATTTCAGAGCCAAAAGAAATTTGGAACAAATTTCACAAAGCTGGAAAAGAAAACTATCCGAGGAAAGAAATATGATTCAGACTCTGATGATGATTAGACTTCAATCGTGATTCTTTGTAAATTGTCTTTTTATTTCTGCTTACTTCACATTTAAACGTGATTTCTAAGTTCTGTTGATTTTGATAAATCAGTCATCTAAAACTCATATTCCAGAGTTTTATACAGTTGCATCACATTGAAAGGTGTCTTTACTATTTTTTGTGCGTCCATCATGTTTAAGTTAAGGAAAACTTCTGTGTTGTTAAATTATAGGGGGAGGGTCTGGATTCTCTATTTTTGAGATTGATTTTATCACAATATGGTTGTTACGTCTTTATACCATTCACAATTGTGTTTTTAATCTCCAGAGTTAGAAATAGAAATTCTATTAACTATTCTAAGACTAATTCTTAATCAGCATTATTTATTTTATACAACAGGTCAAGTAACATTTACTGCTATAACACACTGCACTTGTAAATGAATTATAAACACTTTTCAGTTCTGGAATATATTTAAGTAACTATTAAAGAACTGCTACTTATTTCTGCTATGTATTAGCCCATTTCTGTTTGTTATAACAGAATACCTGAAACTGGATAGTTTATAAAGAAATAAAATTTTTTACAGTTCTGGAGGCTGGGAAGTCCAAAGTACAGGGAACACATCTGGTGAGGGCTGCCTTCTATAGCAGTGCAGGGTGTCACACGATGAATGGGCTGAGCAAGAGGGAGCTAAGCTTCTCACTAGCTCTCCTTATAAAGCCATCATGACCATGCCCATGACCACCTGCAAACCATCAATGGATTAATCCATTCGCAAAGATACAGTACTCACAATCTAATCACCTTTTAAAGGCTCCACCTTTCAATTATCATAATAGGATTTCCCATCCTCTTAACACTGTTACAGTGGGGATTAAGTTTCCAATACATGAACATTTGGAGGACACATTCAACCTATATTAACTATTAATTACTATGTATTCTGGATGCTGCATGTTGATATTGAACCAACGGATGGCAGCAGAAAGCTTTAGGCAGTGAACATATTGCCTTAGAGGATCCTGATTATTTTTTAATGCATATCTTACAGAGAAGCAATCAGGAAACACTTTTGAAATGGCAGCATGAGGAACTCCACTGACCCCTCAATAAAACAACCATAACTGGTAAATTTTAAAAAAGCATTTAAGTCTCTGGAAATTGTCAGCATATAGCAAACAAAAACATTTATTGAAGAAAATCTACTAAATCTTGGTAATAATAGTGAGCCTCTGTGGCATTTGAACCATGACCCCACTCCCTCCCTTCAGTTTACAGTCTCAGGCTACAGTTTCTCCCCTGGAAAAGCAGACTGCTAGTATTTCTCCTTTCCCCAAATTCTGTGTTCCAGAAGCTATTTTCCAAGCGAGAGTACCCAAGAGCTCTGGAGCTCCTTCCTCCATCCAGTCCCCACTTGTAGCACAGGAAGTGAAACCCAGGAATGGCAGGCCAAGAATACTGGGCCCCAGTTGCTCTTGCCCCAGCTTACTCAGGGTGGAGGTTCCATGCAAGGAGAGGCAAGCAGAGAAGACCAGGGGCTACCACCCACTGCCCCACTTAATAGACCATAGATATCACTCCTGGGAAAGCAGGGTACTATCCCCATCTCCAGCTCTGGAACAACAGCACAGAGGTTCTGTTCAGTGGGAGTGGCAGGCCCTAAAAACAGCTCCATAGCACTTTCTAAAAGGACTAACTTTAAAACAGTGAGGGCGGAGAAGTTCAAGTGTTAGGGTGCTGCCAAATGCAATGGATATTTGGGGGAACATGGGGCAATTAAGAGAAGTTTAGTACCTCCATGATAACAATCAGCAAAAGAAGACCAAGGAAAAGTTCAATAGAGAGTAAGAGAAAGCGGCAGCTAATTACGAATCCCAGAACAAGCCACAAAGATAACGAACAGGGTTCTGAATCTAATTGGATCAAACGGCAGCATTTTAAGCTACATGTCATTATCAAAAGCGATAGGTTATCTAGCAATTAATGATGCCAGTAGCAGATGTGACAACAATAGAGGCAGACCAACTAAAACCTTTCCAAGGTAGTCAGGGAAAGAAATGATGAAAGAGGCCTACCAAAAAAAAAAATCTTTGTCCGTGGGACTAGAGGGAGGAGTCAGGGTGGTGGCACATTCCCAGACTCTACTGAGGAAGTACATCAGAGGCCGCAGCCGCCGCAGGCTTCAGGGGTGAATGGGTTTAACTGAAACAGTCCAGCCAAGTAACTAAAGCAAACAAGAAGCCTTGGGGGGGAGGGGGGGGATGAGTGTCCAGAGCTGCTATGTTATATTAACTAAAATATCCAGTTCTCAACAAAATTTCAAGACATGCAAAGAAATAGGAAACTGTAATTCACACATAGGGGGAAACAGCAATCAAAAGAAACTGACTTTTAGAGGACCCAGATTTTGGAAGCAGATAAAAACTTCAAAGTGCTATTACAAATATGTTCCAAAAAACCTAAAGGAAACCATGCTGGAGGTAAGTGAAGGTTTGATGACAGTATTCCATCAAAAAGAGAATGTCAATAAAGAGGAATTGTTTTAAAAGAACCCGATGGAAGTTCCACAGTTCAGAAGTACAATAACACCAATGAAAAGTTCATTAGAAGAGCTCGACAGTAGATTTGAGCTCACAGTAGAAAGAATCAGCATATGTAGAGCTCAGTCAGTACAGACAGACATTGCAATCCAAAGAACATGAGAAAAAGAATAAGGAAAAATAAGCAGCCCCAGAGAGATATGGGACATCAACATACCTGTAATAAAAGTGCTAGAAGGAGAGGAGACAGAAAAAGCAGACAAATTACAAGAAATAATGCCTGAAATTCCCAAATATCATAAAAAAAATTAAAAATCCAAGATCAGCAAATCATAAGAAAGAATGTAGAAAGGTCCATGCCCAGATATGTCATAGTAAAAATTATGAAAAGAAAAAATCTTGAAAACACCAAGAGAAACCACTCATTGCATACAAGAAAACCCCCTTAAGATTCACAGGTAACTTCTCACCAGAAAAAATGGAGTCCTGAAGGCAGAGGGATGACAGGCAAAATGCTGAAAGGAGAAGAGTCTTGTATCTAGCAAAACTATTTCAGAAATGAAAACAAAATGAGGACATTCTCAGCTTTTTTTTTTTTAAAGAAAGGTGGTGAGCTGGGGTGAGAGAATTTGTTTCTAGGAACCCATCTTAAAAAAATGTCCAGGGACGGGCCGGCCCGTGGCTCACTCGGGAGAGTGCGGTGCTGATAACACCAAGGCCACAGGTTCGGATCCCACATAGGGATGGCCGGTTCGCTCACTGGCTGAGCGTGGTGCTGACAACACCAAGTCAAGGGTTAAGATCCCCTTACCGGTCATCCTTTAAAAAAAAAAAAAAAAAAAAAATGTCCAGGGAGGGCCGAGCCCATGGCGCACTCGGGAGAGTGCGGTGCTGGGAGCGCAGCAGCGCTCCCGCTGCGGGATCAGATCCTATATAGGGATGGCCGGTGCACTCACTGGCTGAGCGCGGTGCGGCCGTTCTCAAAAATGACACACACACACACAAAAAAAAAGTTCAGGGAAGTTTTTCAGGCTAAAAGCAAGTGAGACCACACAGTAAATTCAAATCCTTCCAAAAAAACCACCACCAATAAAGACAAATATGTAGGAACGAATAAAGGACATTGTAGTTACCTATTTCTTCTCTCTAGCTAATTTTAAAAGCAGTTTTATAAAACAATGTATATAATTGTAGTGTACCTCTAACATGCAGAATGTGTATTTATGACAATACAATAAAGCAGGTGGGAGAAAGCTATATTGTGATAATGAATCCATAGAAAGAAATGAAGAGAACGAGAAATGGTGAATAAAAAAGTTAACAATAAAAAATATATATGCTTGCTTTGCCTTCAGCTATTTTAAAAGATATGATATTATGAAAACTATTTATTACAACAATATATTAAGATATGTTTAACACAGGTGTAATAAATACATCAATAATAAGAGGAAGAAGGAATGGAGCTGTATAGGAGTAACATTTCTGTTTCACTGAAATTAAATTGCTATAAAATTACTATAAACTATACTGTAAGGCCTAGAGTAACCACCAAGAAAATACCTAAAAAAATACATACTGAATAAATCATTAAAGGAATTAAAATTTTACACTAGAAAATATTTAATACAAAAGAAACCAAAAATGGAAGAAAAAAAAGATATCACATGAAAAATGAAAAAATGACATATAAATCCAACCATATCAATATAGCATTAAATATGAATGGATTAAACAATCCTAAGACAAATGTTGTCAGAGTGGCTTTAAAAACAAGATCCAACAATATGCTATTCACAGGAGACAAACTTTAAATTCAAAGATAAAAGTACAATGAAAAAGATGTACCATGTAAAAGCAATTATTAGAGAGATGGGAGTAGCTACATTAATAAAACAAAATAGACTTGAAAATAGAGACTTGCTGTAGGTATAAAGGGTCATGTTATAATAGTAAGCCAATCTATCAAAAAGCTTTAACCAGTAGAAAGATTTGGACACCTCACAACAGAGCCCATAAATAATTGACAATTTTGTACTTTGCTGTCAGAATTCTGAAGTAAAAATTGACAGAATTGAGGGAGAAAAAAGCAATTCAGCAATAATAGTTGGAGGTATTACCCCAGTTTTAAAAAGGATAGAAAAACTAGATAGATCAACAAGGAAACAGAACACTTGAACGTGATAAACTACACCTAACATATCTATGGAACAGTCCACCTAACAACAGAATACGAATTCTTCTCAATAGCACATGGAACATTCTTCAAGATAGACCATATGCTAGACCATAAAATAAGCCTCAATAAATTCAAAAGTATTGAAATTATAGAAGTCATGTCATCTGAACACAGTGTAATGACAATACAAATCAGACAGAAGGAAACCTACAAAATTCAGAAACATATAGAAATTAATGCATTCCTAAATAACCAGTGGATAAAAAAAAAATCACAAGAAAAATTTGAAAATACCTTGAGATATATAAAAACAAAAATGCAACTACCAAAACTTATGGAATGCAGCTAAGGCAGTGCTTACAAGGAAATTTATACCAGTAAATTTATACCAGTAAACACCTATGTTAAAGATTGAAGCTATTAAATCAATAATCTACCTTAAAACACTGGAAAAAGGACAAACTAAATCTAAAACATAGATGAAAAGAAATAAAGATAAGCAAAATTAATGAAATGGAGAAATAATAAAATGACAAAATAAAAAATTGGTTCTTTGAAAACAACAAAATTGACAAACCCTTATGGTAACCAATTAAGAAAAAAAAGGGGTAAAAAAGGTAGACACAACATAGAAAAGACTCAAATTACTAAAATCAAGAATGAAAAGGCATATCATCACTGACTTTACAGAATAGAAATGATTATAGGAGAGTACTATGGGCAACTTTAGGCCAATAAATTAGATAACTAAGAAGATATGGACAAATTCCTAGAAAGCAAACTAATAAAA